GGAGCCTTGGGGTCCTTGGGCGGGAGAGGAGCATCAGGCGCGGGAGGAGAATCAGGCGCGGGAGGAGCATCTCTCGGCGCCTTGGGGTCCTTGGGTGCATCAGCCGGCGGCGGGGGAGCCGGGGCATCACGAGGAGCCTTGGGGTCCTTCTGCTTGGGATCCTTGGGCTTGGGCGCCGGCGCGTCACGAGCAGCCTTCTGGTCCTTCTTGGGCTTCTGGTCCTTGGGCTTCGCAGCTTTGGGCTTCGGGGCCGGGGCGTCGCGCTCCTGCTTCGGGGCGGGAGGGGGGACGTCGGCGTTGGCAGGCGGGTTCACCGGCAGAGGAGCGTCACGGGCGACGTTCGCGGGAGCTGGGAGGTTGGTCGGGACGGGGGCGCCGGGGATGTCGGCGGCTTGGGCGACGGCGTTGGCAGGGCCGGAGCTGGTAGGGGCGCTGTAGCTGATGGCGCCGAGGGCCAGGAGGGCCATGATGGTTTGGACGGAACGCATGTTGAAGGTGGAAATTTGCTTGATTAGGTAGGTTGTTTGGTAGGTAGGTCGAACGACTGAACTCGATGTGGTAAAGATTGAAGTAGGTTGGTTTTTATTATTGTATTAAGAGTTGTCGAGTCGGTAGAGGACTTGAGTGAGTGAGTGCTGATGATGAGAATGGTTGTGAGCTGCGACTTGAGCTCTATATACCTTTCTTCTGCCTCTTTCATCTCAGACATCCAGACGGCGTCCTCTCCTGAAGCACGTCATGCACTGTGCTACTCGATAGTCGAATCCTCCCCTACCACATCCTGACGCGTACCTATGTGAGAAGTGAGGTAGGCACATAGATGGCAGTGATGTGCGGGATATTCATCGCAGCTGCTAGAAAGTACCTCTTTGCAAGGACCAGGACCGCGGCGCTCTGTTCGCCCTGGACAACTGAGAACTGAGACAAAGGTCAGCACGTTGGCAACTAGATGTTGTGAGTCTTGCCAACACGCCGGCCGTCCACTTCGGGACTATCGAACTTTGGGATACGATCATCGATGTCTCACTGGACAGGAGAACGATCATCGTTGGAAGAGGACACGTAAGATGAACGCAGGACAGGGACGAACGCAGGAGAGAAACAGAGACGGGAAGATGCAGACAAGCTACCACGAAACCAAGATTGAAGTTCGACGGTTGAATCGACGTTAGCTTCTCGTATCATCTCAGCCTTGTAGGGCAGAAAGCCACAATCTATGCGAGACGCATAGTCTGGAGAAGTACGAGATAACCCACAATCGGACAAAGACAAGCATTGTAAATTCAAGCCTCAGCGGCCGCAGCCCCAGATCCCGATGGCGCCAGCCACAGAAAAGGAACCCGATTGTGTGTAATGCCAATGGTACCACCCCGTCTGGCGGAAACAAGCTTTCCCGGCAGGCCAATAAGGCTCATATGCTTAGTATCCACGGCATCCTTCTAGAGGGAGCGGGTACCTGCAGAAGCACCCAGACGGCCCCTAACGGTCCGTTAGAAGCGGGACTCGCGGGAGAAGGAAGGTGTGGACTCGTGGGACTGCGCGGCGCGGTGCGCGGGAGTGCCATCCAGCTTGGCGTCAAGAGAAATGATGGGTATCCGCCGCGTAATCGCCCCGCCGAGCACTCACCGACGTTGGCCAGCCTGGCGTGCACTGTCGCGAGGCTGATGCGAGCCTGGCTGATGAGGCGGGTGTCATTGGCATGTAGCGCAGAGTCGTGGCCGGCTGTGCGTTTGTTTGGACGCGGTGGGTGACGCCTCGGTGGTGACGGATCTGGGTTGGGTGAGGTTGCGGATGCCACGGGCGGAGTGGAGAGGGCCGTGCGAGGAATCTGTATGGCGACACGGCCTCATCAATTGTGCACCTAGCAGCAAGTTGAGCAATTCCATTTTTGAGCTGTTACCTACTCTAACCTATTCGAAGACCGACCCCCGAGTTAACCATTTCCGCAAGCAAAGTCCCGTCCCGGGTATACCCATAATGCAGCAGCAAACCCCCTAGTACTCCAGCAAAGAAACCTCCCGAATAGCAAGGCTGACCTCCTAAACCGAATCGAGTCGAAAACCTGTTGGAATTAGAAGAGCTTATCCATGACCCTTGCAAGGATGCAAGTGGTATGATAGAAGCTGGAGCAATGAGATATTTAGAGTCTCAAGGCATCCAGCAAATGAGACAATCCAACCGTCTTCGGATCTAGCTGTGTTCCTCTACACCGTCTTTCTCAGGAACCGCGGAACAAGAACTGGAGATCCTCGGGCGAGAGCTTTTCCAAAGCCACCTTATCGTTGTTGACGGTACCATTGATCATGGCGGCTTTCTTCTCCTGAAGCATCACCATACGCGACTCGACCGAATCCTCGATGACGAGACGCGTAATCACACAAGGACGCTTCTGGCCGATACGATGGCAGCGGTCTGCGCTCTGCCACTCGGCAGCTGGGTTCCACCAAGGGTCGACAATGAACACTCGCGAAGCTTCGGTGAGATTGAGTGCGACACCACCGGCCTTCAAGGAGACGAGGAAGACCTCGACATCGGCGTTCTCCATGAAGTAGTCGATGGAACGCTGGCGCTGGACCGGACTCATGCTGCCGTCAAGCATGACGGTATTGAAGCCGGCACGGCGAAGGCGCCACTCGATGAGCTGCAACATGGACGTGAACTGGGAGAAGACGATGGACTTGGTGGTCTGCTTCTTGTTGCGGAGCTTGTAGAGATCATAGACAAGCATCTCAATCTTCGTCGAAGACGTCCAGTTCTCCATCTTGATGCGGTTGATAATCGAGTTCTTTTTGACTACTTCCTCGTCCTGCTCGATGTCTGGCTGATCAAAGTCGATGGACAACGGAATGTGGCAACGCGGACAGTCCGTGTCAGCACCGCTGCTCTCACAAGCCTTGACATACTTCTTGGCGCAGTCGCGGCAGAACTCATGACGACAGCGGGAACGAATAGCTTCCTCGGCTGGCTCATCGCAGATGTTGCAGACCAATACGTTCTGGCCACCTTCAGCATGCTTCTTCAAGAGGAGATCGGGATGGTCCGCAATCTGTCGCATTTGCATGATAAGGCCAAAGATATTGGCGTAGTTGTTGAGCATGACACCTCGGGAGACGTATGTGTCGAACTCACGGGCCGTGTTGCTCATGATGCTGGACGAGAAGTCGCGCTCGATTTCGCCGAAGAACTCGTTGTGGATCACAATCTCTTTCGGTGGCAGCTCCATGGACGATGTGTGGTCCTTCTTCATACGTCGCAACATGATGCGAGCTGTGATGAGGTGCAGTCTGTCCATCGCGGCACTGCGGCGCTCAAGGTCGTCCCCAGTGATCGGGTTCAGCAGCTCTTGGTTGAAGACCGAGACATGCTGCGCTCCAGCGTGGCTGCATGATTCGCATTTGTAGTCCTTGTCCAGAGCCCAGTGTACCTGAGAGCAGGGACACTGTTTGCAGAAGTATTCGGCGAAAGGACGAACTTCCAAGAACCTGAGCAGGGAGAAGAATTCACCAATGCGGTTTTGCACAGGTGTACCAGATAAGCACCACTTGTAGGTGCCCTTCAGAGCGAAGCAGGCTTTGGCCACACCCGTGGTGCGCTGCTTGATGCTGTGTGCTTCGTCCAGGATGAGACGGTGGTAGTGTATGGCGTGGATGGGCGATGCCTCTTTGACAATATCGTCTCCGCGCGACCAGCCCTTGACCTCTTTGCGATAAAGAGACTCAAGACTGTTGTACGAGATCATGATAACATCGTATTTCTTGAGCTCTTTGACTTTCATGTTCTTGGATTTGGCGTTCGTTCCATGATAAACCAGAACGTTCAACTTGCCATCAGTGTACTCGCGAATCTCGTTGGACCACTGCATGAGAGCAACTGGAGGGACGAGAACCAGGGTGGGATCCTTGGCCGGGTAGTCGGACATGATGAGGGAAACTGCCTGGATTGTTTTACCCATGCCCATTTCGTCACCAAGCAGTCCGCCCTTGTATTGAGTCTGCTCCTGCTTCACCATCCAGTCCAGACCTTCAAGCTGAAATGA